CTACATTCCTATATATAGAATAGATCCTAGGCTACTACTAACCCTATCCAATATAAGCATAAACTAATATGAAAAGTAGTTATAAAATAAAAGCATCAAGTTCCCAGAAATCCCTGTTGCTAGAGTTGCAAGCAGGGAATCTGTTGAAGATCAGGGCTTCCAGCCGTCGTGGTCTGATGCAGAGGTGCTGGAGAACACCAGCAGCTCAGCAACTGACCCCAAGGCAGAAAGCAGGGGAGCTGAAAAACTGCTGCCTTTTCTGCATTTTCTCTGGCCCTCCCCCAGAACACTGGGGTTGGAAGGGACCTCGGAGAATGCTGACAGGTCACTGGCCAGCCACACGTCAGTCATGAAAGCACTCCTTCCCTCTCTCCCCCTCCCTCCCCTTACTTTCCTTCTTTTTTCCCCCCACAGGGATCCAGTATAGGCAAGTCGAATATTCGACCCCTGTCGAATATTCGACCCGCGCTGTTAATATTCAACTTCTGGTTTTCGATTCGACAGCTATTCGACCAGCTGCTATTTGACTCGACTTTCACTTTTCAAGGTCAGATACGTCGAATATTTGTCAAATCGAATATTAAGTCGAAGCTTTGCACAGCCCTAGGAACCAGGGTGCCTATAGTCACAATCTGGGTCCTAGTTTTTCCTGTTGCTCTTGTAGGGGAAATAACTTCCTTTATCCCTCTACCTAGTGAAAACAACTTACTGCTCCACAGCACATTAACCAAGGCTCTAGCCCCCTGCATAGAATAGGGAATAGCAGCCCCATGACAGCAGCTCTCCAGAACACTAATTGTGACATAAGCAGGATCACAACTGTGCCTTTAATTTGAATAGCAAGGGATTTTTTTCCAAAGGAGAAGGCAGGTGGCATGGTAGAGGTGAGATTGTCATGTGGATGGTATGTGTATTTTTCTTCTGAAGTTATTTAATGGTTTGTGTTAGTTATGGGGTGGGAGCTCATGACAGGGTACACTGTAATGGTACAGATGATAAAGAAAGGTATGATTGATGTATTGCACAGAGATCTTTTCCATATTATACTCTATTTTGTTACATATAGTAAGACTATGAAGGCCAGCTGCAATATCAAACCTGTGTAAAATGTACACAGAAAGTGTTAATAGGAGCATATTTTACAGTACATTGGACCCGAAAAGGATGTAGGGAGCAGTAACGTAACTGCTGGAAAACTAGGCAAATCAACAGCTAAAATTAATGGGATTTCTCACTACACTTCCAAGCATGAGGTTGTATATGACACCAAATGGAATAAGCACTGTAATTCTTTCTGATGCTAGCAGTGTGTGACAGTAACAATTTCAAGTGTACTTCACTGTACCCCTTTTATTTTCAGCCTTAGACTACCCGCAGACAAAGATACCCAATTTACCAAATTATCGCAAACTATCAAAGAGCAGTGAGGTGATCGAGGTCTACAAAGGTACTAGGTTAAGGCCCCCAAACTCACTTCACTCATAGCCCAAAAATGTGCTGCCTCGGTTCCTACACCAGTTTCCTGCCTTTGTTTCCTGTTTTCCTCTCTCATGTCAGAATTTCCCTTAAAAAAAATCTCACTGTGTCTTTATACCTCACATGCCTGCCTGTCAACATGTGATTTTTAAGCCCTTGTTTACAGACATTAATCCTCTTTCAAAGGTTTTACTTTTTAATTTGTTATTTCCCTGGGTTTGGCCATGTGACAGGAAGCTGTTGTGATACCTCACAGTGGTTACATCTTGAAAATGTTTCACCCCCTCCACATACTCCCACAGGCACACAAGAACAGATGTACTCCTTCTTTTCCTTTCCCGGTTACAGTTTGTTATCAGCTTTGCTTCATTAGGGGGATGTAGCAGTCTGTTGGAGCCAGAGACTACAGCCTAGCTTTGGGCAGTAACACGAAGTACAGGCTGCTCAGGAGGACTGGGCCAGCCGAGGGAGCTAGTTAGCGGCTACAAGAAGTTAAAAGGCTTGCGGGGAGGGAAAGCCAAAGGGGAGTCAGACAGATAGAAGGTGAGAGACAGAGTGGCCTGGCCAGTGGCTACAATACCGCACCAGGGACTCTCAGGCTCTGAGGAAAGACCCAGGGGCTGCAAGACTGGGAACAGCCGCACTACAACAGACAGTTGAGTCATAGCCAGCCCAAGAGGAAAGACTGCAAAAAGGAAGGAGCAGCAGTAGCTGGAGGTACCTTCTCAGGGGCTGAAGAGGACTCAGACCTGTGAGTTAACCCTTTATGGACTGTGTTTATATTAGTATTTGAGGACTGATTGATGTAGGAGGAAGCCTGTGGGACATGCATGCCCTGGGAATAAAGGACTATATTGTACTTAAAGACTTTGTGCACTAAGCAATAACCCTGACCCCACAACAAGGTGGGGAAAAAAGGCTCTGTGCCATTGGGTCTGTTGCTGAACAAGTTGTCTCAAGTGGCAGACTGTTCCAGTGGGTTGAATCCTTTATTGCAGTATCACCACTCTTGCTTGAGCTTAAAGATCCACATATGCAGCAACCTAACCTAATGCAATTCTAGAAATAAAACAAATACATACATGTCCTGAAAATTCCATTTTGTTTTCTTGATGTTACCAATACAGATGGAAGGTGATGGCTGAAATGCTGGGTGTTGATGCTTGACAGGTCTGAGAAGTGAAATCTTTTCTTTATTTCCAGAACCAGCACAGCACTTCTGGAAAAATGCAAGATCCAAATATATATATTTTTATTTTTTACACCTTTCAACATACAGGGGCACTTGGCTATAGTCAGATTTCAGTTCGATTCCCGGTGGAACTGGACCCTTGGCTCTAAATACCACAGCTATACCTGAGGAGGGGCTGTTTGTGTCCAAAAGCTTGTCTAACTTCTCTCCCAGCTATACAGTTGGTACAGTAAAAGACATCACAAAAGAACCCTTGCCTATCTCAGGAAATTCAGAGGTAACTACAGACTAGTTCCCATTTCTGTAAAAGCAGCTAAGTCAAACTGCAGAGGCAAATGCCTTCTGAATTTTGTGGAAGCTGGATCTAGAATCACCTCTGCAGTGCTCATTCCATTATTTCATGTAACTGCTGTGATGCACTGCCAAAGCTATCACAAATGACTTCCTTAAAAAATTCCCTTTCAGCTAATGAACACACATGACATTTCTTGTGTAAAATCCTCCTCACAGCCTGTCCCTCACATCCATCCACTTCATATTTTACTTCCTTCTAATCTAAAGAATGTGGTCAGTTCTATATGCTTCTGCTTATTTGTCGGAGGAAGACTTGCCCCACATGATGCATGGGAAGTAACAGGGAACCTATTGGTCCCTACAGCTTTCTGCAGCAGATGTGCATAATCCTACTCTATCTTCAGGCTTTTCTAGGCCAGGATAACTTCTGCCAGTGGAACTTCATGGGTCTAGGTACATTAGTGCAGTCCCACCTCCCCCCACCCAACAGAGAAGCACTGACCTGGGTAAGGCCAGTTTTATACTGATGATACATATCCACACTGATGTATTAGGGCAGCAACATCAGTGTAGATGCACCAGAGCAACCTCCTCCCTCTCTGCCCAGAACAGGCAGAGGTTTAGGAACTGGTTTGCATTTATCTACATAGCCTTATTTTTCCAGGATATTTTTGGAAGGGAAGGGTCTAAAGCTACAGACATTCTCCTCTTTCAGGGCCCAAAGTTCACATAGGTTCCTCTGTGTTTGTAGCATGCAGTTAGCATGGTTGCTAGTAAAAAATATTTCAATGTACAAACAACAAACAAAGACAAGCCAAATAAGATGATCTTTACTGTGTGCTGAATGGAGCTGTGCTTTCTCTTTGAAGTTAAGCCAGTAAGCCCTACCTGTGTGCATCTACTCTACTCTCAGAGCATGTGAGATTTGCATTCCCTTTTAAGGGTTAGTTTTTTTCCACCTTCCCTTGGAAATTTCTGAGTGGAGGTTTATTTCTGAAGCTTACATCACTGCCAAACTGGAACAGAGTTTTTCAATCTATCTGACCCTCAGGCCAGGCTCTGGTGGAGGCTGTATGGCTCAAGAGGGCCAGGTGAGCAGTTCGACTTTCCAGCTGGTAGTATGTAATTGGGCATTACCTAATTAGAACAGTTCAGGACAAATCCTAGTGACACAATGCATGACAGTTAAGCATTAATCATTGCCTGCCCACAATATAAATGCAACAGAGCCGCTTTCACTCCCAGCCCTACCCTGCAGTCCTTGTATATGCAAACCTCATTAGATTGTTGTGGGAGTGTTGCTCATAGTAAGCTTCAGGATTAAGCCTGTGGATTTGGAACCTAAGGCACTGTAACTAGCACCTCACTTCCTTCCTCACCAGTAGCTGTCAACTTGGCTCTTTATAAGAGCATTTTCAAGTGCTAAAATTGGGCAAATGTAGTACATTGCCAGTGCAATCTAATGTGACGGCTGTGTTTTAATTGGCCCTAATAGCCAATGGCCTGAATTTATATGGGAGTGAATATGATGTGGAGGCTGATTCAGGACAAGGCAGTCTTCCCTAATGCTAAGGAAAGGTAGTCCAGTAATTCCTTAGGAAAGGTAAGGGCCTGGTTCAGAGCTTGCTGAGTCAATACGGGCTGACTTCAATGGGATTTGGGTCAGGCTCTTAACAACCACTATGTTAAAAAGGAATGTGTGGTCTGCTGTGTGAAATATATTTGTGCTTTAATGTTTGCAGCAAACTTGGGAGCCCCCTCGGAGCAATGCCCTCATCCTTAACTCGCTACAAATTGTAAGTATTGCTGTCACTCTGGGCTGGTTTTACAATCTCAAGGGCTCAGCCCTGTGACCTCTCAGTGGATGATAGCCTATTGATTTCAGCTCAAGATTGGTGCAGAGGAGCATCCTCTTGGAGAATTGCTTGATGTCATCTGTCCTCTAGACTGTCATTGGAGGGGAATGGGCTTGGCTCTAACAGGTATTTCCCATCTGTAACTTCTCTGATAGTATGCTGTTACTGGACACCCTTCCTGTTGTCTAACAGAGTGGGTGAGATACATCATCCATATATTTCCCAAGTATTTTTCATGAATTTCCTCTTACTGGAAGTCTTTGAGATGTATAGCTAGAAAGCACTGCATAAAAGCTAGGTATCGATACAATCTAATAACTACTGTTTTTCATTAATCTGCATTAATCTTCACGCTTTGCTCACTCTCTCATTCTTTGCCAGTACAAAATGAGTTGCTAATGGGACACTCCAGAGGGCACTTTGTTTTGTAGGAAGACTGGGGCCAGGTCCTCAGGTAGTATAATTGGCACATGACCAGAATAGGGTTCAAACTTGTGCCTCTAAAGCCACAGGAAGATAGCTAAATGGCTCTGCCATAGCACTCATGACTGGGTAAGTCTACGTGTTCATTAATGCTCTGTATTTACAGCACATTAACTTTAGTACCTGTAATTACAGGTACTAACAGTGCACTGTAAGCTGCACTACCGTGCAGCAGTGCCACTGTGCAGTAGCACCGACACACACTTTTGTGACACTAATGCGCAGTAGACTTATTCTACTGTGCATTAGTACAGTATTTGCCTGCCATGCTAATGCACATTAGAATTAGTCTACTGTGCCTTCAGCATCTCATATAAATGTACCCACTGAAGGCAACAGGATGAGGTCAAAGGCCGCCCTTAGCTGTAAATGGGCACCTGGTCATTCAGACTGGAGAATCAAAAGTAGCTGAATACGATACTGACCATATCACTTTCTTGCATGTTGTTGGCTATAGGCATTGTTGTTGCTTTAACCCTTAGGGCCACAAGAGGTCAAATCGCTCTTGACTTCACTGGAGACTACACTAATCAGACCACCAAGAATCTAGCTCATTCATTTTTTGTGTGTGTCCTTTCTCCTCCCCATATTTCCTGGCAACACAAGTTTTCAGAGAAGGGGAGAAAAAGGAGTTATTTTTAAAGCATATGTTCCCTGTTCACTTGTGCCAATGAAATAAACCAGCTTTGATTGCTTTACTATCTAAACAGTACTTTCCCTATAGTGCCTTCTGTTTTTCTTTGGCCATTTATTGACACTGAGTAATATAACATGAAAGGAATACAGATGGGCTTGTACTGAAGGAATCAGTTAAATACCTATTAGAGAATTAAAAGCATCCCATGGCCAGGATTATACAACTTTAAATGGTGATATTATCACAGAGCAAACAGGTTTGTAATTTTAATGGGAAGAGGAGAAAGGATTTCAAACTTTTCCCCCCATGTTTGATAGAAAGATTAGAGTGAATCCATTTGGTGTGCATAAGTTTGGTAGAGCTGTTGAGCCATTTGCCCAGGGATATCCACCTTGTGTTTCTTGTAAATAGTAATTGCTTCACACAGAGGGAATTCTTCTGGTCAACGCTTTTATTAAAGTTTAATTCCCAATGTGACAAGTAGGCTTATCCCCTGTTTTCAATGTCTGATAATGATGCACTTTAGAAGCTTTGAAAAAACCTTTGTCTAGACAGAAACAGCTTAGGAGAAGTTTTGAAATGTAGCATTTACTTGAAACCTTTGTTGACATTGTTACATCTAGGAATCAGGGATGCAGTTCGGGAAATCTTCAGCTGTTTTGTACTTTCTCAGGCTAAAACAAGACAAGATGCTTGTACAAGATCAGTGACTTAGAAAACAATGCCTTCTCTCCTGTGAGTGGTTCAGTCCCTGGCAGAATTTTTTCCAGTTCAGTGTTGCTATGGAAGGAATTTCATTCCCAGTCAGTAATTCATTTCTAGCCTTCATAAATAATAGTAATAATCTACAGATGTATATTCCATTCTAACACTGTAATCTTCTGTGCCTGGTATTGGATCAGGCTATTTTATAAGGATCCTTCACAATTGTTAAAGAGACTATTATGCAACCTGAAAACAATGATAACAAACATTTCCACAGACTTATTGTAAGGTTTGTTTTTAATAAGTCCACTTGACTTGAGTCCCAGGGGATCTTTTATGTGGTGTAATTTAGCAAAATCAGATTTTGATTCTGAATATAGAATATCAAAGATTTATAGATAATAAAATGGAGCCATGTAATAATGCAAGGAGCCATACAAAGTCTAACTTGGGGACAGGAGGAGAGTTGAGGGGTGGATAATTAGCCACCTGAAAGGTGGCAGGGCCATGCCACTATCTTTTTTCTTTGACCAGAAGACTTAGCTGGTCATAGTAATGGCCTGCTGCACATTTTATATATGCCTGGAAAACCTTTATGATGTCCCTATTATAGGTCAGTGCCTTTGTGGCACAATCTGAGATGAAAATCTATCTAGGCTTCTATTCATTACCTTCAGCCTGGGAGGTAACATTGTCATTATGACTGTGTTTGATTAGTGGTTTAGTTTGATTTGACATTTAATAATAATTATATGTATGCAAAATGCTTTTAATCTTCAAAGTGCTTTTACAAGCAATTATGTCTTGCAGAATTCATGCACAGTAATGTAAGTGAATGCACAGTATTCATACAGGATGAAGATTTAACCCCTGCCTTGAGTGAGAAACTCAAACCTGTCTTAACAATAGATTTGCAATGAATACTTCCATAATCACATTCCCCATGGTACAATACCATAGAAGCTTGATGTAGAGAGGTTAAGTTTCTCTTGTCAGAGGCCACAATGGAAATCCATACCAGTGAGGAATAGAAACTAGGTAAGTCATCCCAGTCTTGTATTGGGACCATTGCCTTGCTCTTTTTACTCTCTGTGAGAATTAGGAAAACAAATGCACCAAAAAAGATGCTGTTGAACTCTGGAAGTATCATCCCTTCTTCAAGAGAGAAGTGTCCAATAAGTAGGAGACATGATCTGGGTTCCAGAAAGACTCCTGCTCTAGAAAGTGAATACAAGTGGGTTATAAGAAATGGGGACTAAGTCTGTAGAATTCACAATTGTTTCCAATAGTGTTGCTCTAGTATTGCTGCTTCTGAGTTAATTCCTAGCAAATAATTTAGATGACAGACAGCCTCCTATCTTGTTTTTAAATTCTCTCTGGGCATGTCTACACAGGCACCATTACTGTGCAGTAACTTAGGTGCCATAACTGAAAATAACTGCACAGTATGGGTATGCATCTACATGTGCA